AATGGCTCCCTCTGTTATGGTATCTCTCATTCTGCTCTCCTCTATTCTTGTCTTGTAGATCTCTGGAAATCTTCTCGGTGCCAGATCTCTCCTCGACCCATAATGGCTCCATCTGATATGGTATCTGTCATCCTGCTCTCCTTTATTCTTCCCCCCACTCAACATTTTTGTTCTTCCATTTCCTCCTCACCCCTCCTCTTCTCCTCTTCTCATTCTGCCGGCTCCCTCTCCCCTATCCTCATGCTTCCAGTTAGGTCAGGAGATCCTGCCCCTTCCCATTCTCCAGGGCCCATGCATTTTTCTCTTAGAGTACTTCTTGTTACCTAGTTCCTTTGGTGATGAGGATTGTAGGCTGGCAATCCTTTGCTCTATGTCTAAAATTCATATATGAGTGAGTACATATCATGTATGTCTTTTTGTGACTGGGTTGCCTCACTCAGGATGGTTTCTTCTAGTTCCATCCATTTGCCTGCAAATTTTAAGATTCCATTGCTTTTTTTTCTGCTGACTAGTACTCCATTGTGTAAATGTACCACATTTTATCTATCCATTCTTCAGTTGAGGGGCATCTAGGTTGCTTCCAGGTTCTGGCTATTACAAACAACGCTGCTATGAACATAGTTGAATATATGTCCTTGTTGTATGAATGTGCATCCTTTGGGTATATGCCCAAGAGAGGAATTGCTGCATCTTGAGGTAGATGATTCCCATTTTCCTTTGAAACTGCCATACTGATTTCCAAAGTGGTCTCAAGTTTGCACTCCCACAAGCAATGGAGGAGTGTTTCTTTTTCCCCACATCCTCTCCAGCATTCCTCAAAGATGCATCAATACTGCCTCTGTGACAGGACACTATTCCTATAAGTTGGAGTCCACAACAAATGAGGACTAATGTGTTCCTTAATGATAAGGCAATTAGTGGGAACAAATGGCCAGAAAATTGACAAAGTGTTTTACCTCAATCAGCAGAGTAACTGCCATTGAGTGTGGTAAACCAGTGGTATTTGCAGAATTTGCCTAATCCAACAGAGCTAACAAATGTCAGCCCTGCTGTGCCAGATCCAAGGGATGTTTTGCTTTGCTCCCCCCAGAAGCTATAAAGTCACAATACAAGTGTCAATGTGAAATTACCTGAATTTTCAGCATTTGTAACTTGTTCAAATATGTTCTTAAAAATACAATGGAGACTAAAGGAAACATGCCTGGAGATGAGTCTTAGCTTCCAGGTTTCCAATTTATGATCTCAGAAGAAGCTATTGTAAAGTCAGATTGCTGAGTGTGAAGAGATAATGAAATTGGCTCATCGTGAGTTGCAGAGGATGGCTTCAGCCAGCCAGGGAGCAGACAGGAGTCTAAACCCTGTTTCACAGGGACGGTGTTGACACTGAATGAATCCACTGAGTACAGATAATGAAGACTGGTGTGTAGCATACAATTCCCCTATAAATGTGAGAAAGGAGACTTGGGGACACCGTTTGGGGGGGCACGTGAAGATAAGCAACGTGAAGATAGCTGAAACCCAGTGATTGAAGGAGGGAGAGTTTGAGATTTAACATCGAATGTCAAAGCTGAGTCACCTTGGAAAGTAATTACTTAGCTACCTCCATTGCCAGCTTCCTCCCCTTCACTTGTGGTGGTGATGTGAGTCACCTGTGGACATTCGAGTTTAAGTTGTAACCATGCATCTTTAGACAAGTTTTGTTCCACTGAGAGTTCACTCCACCATCCTTCCCAGAGGAGGTGCTATTCAGATTTGTACTCATGAAAGGAATTCATGTCAAATTCATTTGAAAATGAGACTTAAAATGTTTAAGTGACTAAAATTTATTTTCCAGTTTTTATGATAAAAATAAGTGCATAAAGGCAATTTAAGGGAGAAGGGATTTATTGCAGCTCACATTTCAGACACAGCCCATCATGGCAGGAAAGTCAAGGTTGCAGAAACTAGGAGCAGCTGGTTACATTGTATCCACAAACAGAAAGCAGAGAGTACACGCAAATGGAGAAGCTCAGCCGGCTTCTCCACTTCATGTAGTTCAGCATACCCAGCCAGAGAAAGTCCCATCTTAAGGTGGGTCTTCTCATCATTTGACCTCACCACGGCTATCTCTCATATGCATGCTCAAAGGCTAAACAGCCCCCCATAGATATGCTTGGAGACTTAACTCTTAGGTGATTCTATATTTCATCAGCTTGACAATGGGGATTAAGCGTTACAAGACTGCTTGTTTAATAATAGTTGAAAATGTGCTTTTACCAAGCTGGCTATACAAATCCTTTGCTTCTGTTTTCCATCTAATATTACTATTCTAATAGTCTCTTTATCCAGAACTCATGTAACTCATGCAACTCATTGTCTCATGTGTAGATATTCCCAGTACACTTTATACTAAGATTTTGTTTCTCTGCTTTGAGAAACAATCAGGTAAATGTTGCAACTGGATTGCTAGTTGACTGCTGAACTCTCTTGGTCTTTGTCTTTCAGGTAGAAGATGCACTGAGTGAGGTCGAGTTTCAGCTCAAGGTGGACCTGCACTTCACGGATAGTGAGCAGCAGTGAGTGTCATGGAAATCTTTGGTCTGTACAGAGAGGTTTCTTCCTCAACCTCTTCCTTATTCTTAGGGCTTCCTCAAAGCTAGAATCCTCATTTCTCTCAAATGACTACTTACTAGTAATTTGCAATGTCCCTCAGTAGTCCCAATTTACCAGGAACTTAGGATAGACATTGTATTAGTCAAGGTTTTCTAAGGAATATGACTGATTGTGTCACACACACACACACACACACACACACACACACACACACACAGAGAGAGAGAGAGAGAGAGAGAGAGAGAGAGAGAGAGAGAGAGATAGAGAGAGAGAGAGAGGAGATTAGACTGGTTTATGTAGTGTGGTTCAGATAGTCCAACAATGGCTGTCTCATGCTAGAGTGGCCAAGAATCCAGTAGTTGATTATTCCATCAGGTGGAATGTCTCTGCACTCCCAGTATGTTGCTGAAGTCCTGGGGTGGGGGGGGGTGATGCTGATTTTCAGTCAACACTAGAATTCAAAAGAAGTTGGAAAAAGTTGGTGTGATTACCAGTGAAAGAGTATTGTAGCAACAGAATAGGTAGATTTGCCAGCAAGAGTGAGAGTGAGTAGGCAAAAATCAAAGTTTCCTTCTTCCGTGTCCCTTTATGTAGCTGTCACAAGAAGGTGCTGCCCTTCTTGTGCAGGTATAAGATGGGTTTTCATGCTTCAAATAAACTTACCAAGAAAATCGCTCTCAGGAGTGCCCAGCAGCTTGGGTTCTAGCTCATTCTAGATGCTGTCAAGTTGACATGCTTTGCCATCACAGAATGTCTGCCAGAGCCTGAGAAACCTCATTCATTTGGAGCCAGGCTGCTCAGGTTCTGCACACAGAATGTTTCTGTCTTCTTGCCATATTAAAGAGTATCTTTTACTTGAAGCATTTTTATGTGGTACTGATTTGAGGGTTTTAGAATAATTCTCCATGTGTGAGACAATCAAACCCCTTTCAAATAATTTTTTCCTGGTTTTCTATGTGTTCACATTGAACATTTGCTAGTGTTCTTCAACTCTCTGTGAGCTGAAATCTATTTATATAAAACTTGCTGAGAAAATAGTCAGGGAGCAGTTCTCTTCCTTTTCTTTCCACTTGATCAGGCATTTTTAGTATAGGATGCCCTTGATGCACAAAAGGAGATGCAGAGGGCTTTGTATTTCTTCCTTAGCTTGCTTTGCCCTTACCTCTGTGGTTTGTAGATCAAGCACAATGAGGAAGGAAGATACAATAAAGGCCAAGAAATCACATTTGAGTGTTGGTAAGTAGTGTCATTTTTAGGTAAATCATCATTAGGTCTTGTGAGTTACTTGATGGTATGACCATTATGCACACATCCTCCCCCAACTCTGCTCTGTCTTTGAAGTCCCCTGATAAGTCCTTGTGGCCACTCGGAGACTTCTAGGAAAATATTTGTGGCAGATCCTCTCCATAGAATCCACATGTGGTCCATGTGTGCTCACATTTAGTCTCTTCAAATTCTTCAACATCTGCTTCCCTGTTCCTTTTGGAGAGCAAGAACCAGGGGATGCAGGCTAAGAGTGCCAGAATAGGTGCTGATAGTGGCAGAATTGGTGTTTCCCCCACTCTTTCCTTGGAGCTGAGACTCCCTCTCTTTACTGCTTTCTTAAGGGTTCTCACACAAAGAAGACACAGAACAAAGGAAGAACATCTACTAAGTTGTCAAGAGATCTGGTGGTGTTGAGTCATTGAGAAGAAATATGTATTAAATTGTAGCTGATAAGACCTGGTCCCTGGGCCACCAGGAGTATCCATGCTCTGACATAGTGTCTGGGCTCAACAGCACATATTTCTCCCTTGAGAATTACTTGTACATGTTCATGTGCCTGTGCACGCACACACACACACACCACACACACACACACACACACACACACACACACACACACATGCTTCTTTCCTGCTAAGAATCTTTAAGATGGCATTTCCTCTGTGATGGTGGATACTAAAAGAAGTCCGTCTACCCCTCAACATGAAAGCCCCTGCTTCCATTGTTCTCATGACTCCCTGTGTGATTTGAGATCTCTATCATCACCTCTCTAGCTGAGGCCTCTATACCTTGTGGTTTCATGAACTTCCGTCCATTACTCTACAAGGCACGCATCCAGCTGGATGTAGAACCATGCCATCAGTCATAAAATTAGCACAGAAATTATTCTCTGGCAAGGTCTTGCAGAAGTTTTAAAAAATGTGTCACAGGGAGGTTATAAATTATTTTTTTTTCTTGCCAGCAGAAGAGCAGTTAATGGAGAGCCTGATATAAGAAACTGGTCATACAAAAAAAAACGAGAAATATGGCCACTTAGGCCCAGAACTCTTCAATTAAGATATGTTGGACAAATCTCTATATTGGACATCAGGCTTTCAAGCATTCTTAAGTTGAGTAGATGTACTTACTTATTTATTCATTCATTCATTCATTCACTTTTCTTAGCAACATGTCGAAAACAAGCAAAAAGGAACAAAATGGGAGGCTGTTGTTTAATCACAGTTAGACAGGCTTGTGAAGTCCCTATATATTAGTGGGACAATGATGTCCCAGACTTTGGCCATGTCAATCGACATTCAAGGTAACAGTGATGCTGGCTGGCATCAAGTTGGTAGAAACAAGGGTGCTGCTAAATAGTACAACACACAGGACAGCTCTGTTTCTCGCCAAATCTTTATTCAGTTCCTAAAATCACTATTATTGAGATAGTGGCACATGCCCAGAACCACCATCCTATCTACACTCTCTGATTTAGAATGGTCCATGAGTACCTGCTTGCACAGGGCCAGGATACTCACCCCTACATAGCCCTGCCAGTCTCTGCACAGCTCTGAAGATAGGAAATTCTTCAGTACTTAAAGGAGTGTTTCATCTTTCTATGGGTTATCTCAGTTGGCCTTAATTTTATTCCTTGCAAGTGAGCAGAAGAATTCTGCCTGGAGTACTGCTCTTTCTGTGAGATATTAACTTTTGCTGTTATTTAATTATTTTGTTTGCTTAGTTCCTTTATAAGAACCTCAGACATTCTTCTGCCTCATCCACCAAAGTTACTTGCATCTTCTCTACACTGAGATTCCCTAGGAAGTGGGCTTCTTCTCCATAAATAGGTGCTGTCCATTTCAGAACACAGAACAGTGATCCCTTCTCTCCTTACTCCTGAAAGAGGCTTGAGTTATGCTTAATTTCTTGTTCTCACTGCCAGTGGCCGATGTCTAAATGAGCTCAAAGTAATACTGTGCAGTAACAGCACAGAGGAGACTCAAAACTCATCATGACTGTGAACAAGTTAAATAATTCACATTAGTTTCACTTTTTTCTTTTAGGATTGGCAAGCATGTTGAATGCTTGTCTTATAGGGGAAAGCAGGATATCTAATCCACAGTTAAGTTTCAAATCATTGTCCAAATTCAAGTGACATGAAGGTTGACACCCGTGGCTTGGAGTCTCTACCTTTCTTTATCTTGTGTCTTCATAGTTAAAACAAAGAGTGTGTTACATGTAGTCACAATGGGCACCAAGGGTTCAATGGCTGGTGTACAATAATCCACAAGCAGCAAAGATCACAAGGAAAGACTGACACTGGCTTGGGCTGTGGGAGCCTTCACTGTTTCCCTTCCCTCTCTGTAATCTATTTGCTTATACATAGGTGAAGAAGAGATCCTCTGTTGTGCTCCTGGAAGATATTCATAGTAGCTGTCCTCAGGCTCTGGGTCCCTGAAACCTGCAGAGCCAGAGACTGCTTTTAGCACTTATATATAGAGGAAAATTAGTCTTCCTTTTTGTAACAAGATACTTCTTGGTTTGTCTGCCTGTGGCCTATCTCTTAGGATTGGGTATGCAGTGATTACAAAGTGCTAGAGCAAAGGTAAGGGGTGACATCCTGAAACTGGTCAGACTGTTTCAGCACTGTGTTCTGGGTACCATTTTGTCTTTATCCATTCAGTCGGTCTGCTGTCATTTTCATAACCATGGGCTTGATCACCTTTTCCATCTTGTCTGTACCAGTGAAATGCTAGACATGTAAAGATGACTTAGTCACAGCTCCTGCCCTTGGAGGTTTGAGGCCCAACAGAGTTCACAACCTCACAAAATCTGCAGAGCATTTTATGAGCAGTGCTCATCCTATAGGAGTAAGAAAGGGGGAAAGTGTACAAGAGATTTGCAGTCATGAGAGGAGTCTGGGAACTATCTGTTATCTTCACTGTCTCTGAAGTTCAGGTTTACTAGCAGGCACTGACAGAAGAACTTAGGCCCAGATCTGCTATGTGACCTTCATTCTTCATTTGCCAATTGTGGGAAAAATTCTTTCAACTAGGCAGAATATTGCAGGATTGAGTAAGAGGATGAAGCTGTAAAGTAGAGCTAATTGAGTGACAGCAGAGCCCACCAACCATCCTCATATGAGTTCACTCACTTGCCTTCCAGGCTGAGAGATGTGACTGGGACACCGATGATCAGCAGTCGCACACTTGGCCTGCACTTTCACCCCAGGAGAGGTCTCCACCATCAAGTCCCTGTCATGTTCGACTACTTCCACCTGTCGGTGATTTCAGTGACCATCCACGCTGCCCTGGTGGCTCTACAGCAACCTTTGATCAGGTACAGAGTTAGAGGTAGCCCTAACATTCATCTCATGCATCACTAAAAGACATAGTCTGCCATAATGATCAGCACAAATCAGAGAAGCTTGTCCAAGGTTGCTGGCTTAAGCTTGGGGGTATTCATGTGAACCACAGAAAAGATGAAAGAAAGCTTGGGAGTGTCTCAGGATGATAGAGGACACTGGGGTATTTCAGGGGTGGAAGACTTGTAAACTGTAACTCACTCTTCAGGGATTTGGATTCTTCCCCTGGATTCACTTGTCTCTAGTTGTGCCTTGAGAAGCTCCTCATGTTTCTCTGCTACATAATCTGTGTGTAAAATAAGAAAACCAACATCTATATAAAGCTTTGAATTTTTTAAAATTCACTTGATATTTTAGAGTGTCTATAAGGTTACCAGAACTTTATTATTTAATGCTCAATTTAAGCCTAAATAATTTGTACTTTGACACATTTATATGTGTATATAATGCATTCTGATTATTCTTACTCCCACCTTTTCTCTCTCTATCTCACTCCTCCTTTCTTCCCTACAAGTTCCTTTAATATATTCATGTCTTGTGTTATTTTATGACACATTGAATTTAATGAGGGCCATTCATGTGACGTTTTAGTGAATCCCAGTGGAGGACAGTGACCAAATCTGTTCTTTCGCTCAGTTGCTGTTTGCTCAAATGGAGGTTTGCTTGTAAGATAGTTTGACTGTGCCTTTCATTGACTCACCTTGTAGCATGTCCAGGGTGCCAAGGAGAACCTGTATTTCATTAATTCTACAAGGGAAGGTATAGAACTCGTGAAAGCTATTGTATTGGGATGGTAAGGTTAAGTGATTTATGAAGGCATAACTGGATTTCATGGTGGAAGTTCGGGGAAGTGTTAGCATTTAGCTGTGGGAAAACCTGCATAGGAGTTAAATCGGAGCATAGAGCAAAGAGCAGAGAGAGTAGGGAAGTAAGAGAGACAGACAGCTGGTAAGAAGCAGCTGTGAACCTGGAGCTGAGAGCCAGGATCAAATAGTTTGTGGCCTTTTGTGCCTCATGTTCTCCTGCTCAAAACTTTGCTTAGCTCCTAGATTGAAGATAATCTTAGACCTAACATCCTAGATTGAGAAAAAAGAGGGACAAGGACCAGGGGTCTGTGGTTTTCAATCTTTACGTCTAATGGGTATCTATGGAGGGCCCACTGTTCTCCAGCAGAGGCATCAGGATACAGACGCATAGCAAGTTTGTGAGGGGTATTCAGCATCCTCAGAACAGACCTCTTCTTCAGACATCTGAGTCCAGTGATTGAGCTGATATGTGTATGTTGAATTATATAGAGTGAGTGTTATAGTAGAATGTTAGAAAAAATGTGACAGTGTAGGAACATGGGAAAGCAACCATGACCCTGGGAAGCTGCAACAGACATAGAATTTGGAAAGTAGAAGAGTACTCATCTCCTGCAAAGTATGCACCCTATTTGGGTGATTCCTTCTGATCAGGGCTGCTTCAACGCATAGTTCAGGGTAGGATCTGTGTGCCAAGGGTGAGACAGAACAGGTGTGCCCTGAGATCAGTGGAGACTGTTCAGATGAAGGCCAGACAACATCCCAGATGGGAAAGGAAGCAACACGTCCAGGGGTTCTGGGTCTCAGACAGTAAGCTATGCCTGTGAAGCTAGAATTAGGAGCACCTGGTTGCTTATTTCCTCCACTTACTTTCTGGGGGATATTTGAATATTTTATCTCACATCTCTGGATATTTGTTTCACCATATAGATGCATAAATTTAATGTAAACAAATAATTTTGTGATAATAAACCAGCAGATATCAAGGGTGTATATAAGAAAAACTGGTAGACTGTTTCACAAAATGAATATGTATGTAATAAAGGCTCTTGAAGCAAATCTAGGAATATGGAAACTAGCAATTCTGAGATGCATGTATTGTGTCCTGGCTATAAGAAAGAGTCTGGAAGCAATTAAGGTGGTAAGCTTCCAAACTGAGCAGTATGCCAAGTTCTGGGAAGGCCTCATAAGGTAGCAGTTAGAATAATGGGTTTCAGGACTGGGTGGCCCTGTGCCAAATCTGAGAGTCTACTTTCTAACTCTGTTCACTTGGGCATGTAGGATTCCATTTCAGTCAGCAGTAGGAGAATGTTGGAAGGAGTCACTGATAGCACATGGGAAGCTCAGGTATGTATGCATCCAGGAGATTAACTTTCGTATAGCACCCACCGTATTTTGTACTACCCTGATTAGCTCTTGACAAATGGCATGAAGCTTTCTGCACAGGGAAATGCACCTTTCCTTGTGTCTCTGAGGAAAGCTTCACAGAAGGCATGACCCTACCCAGGGAACAAGAGAGTGTGACAGTGAAAAATTGAATTTGGGAAGGTAAATTGGAGTCAGATTTTGACAGTGTAATTAATGAGGCATCCAGGTGTTGGACCTAAATTAGTTGAGTATGCAGAGACACTGAAGGCTTATGCCTCAGAACAATCCTCAAGACTCCTTCAGGCAGGAGTGTCAGTGGTGTAGTCAGGAGGACAAGTGAGATGTCCAAAGGGTTCCCAGTACCTGACATCACCTTTTGGCTCTAGTGCTGCTAGGAGCTCTGATGCTATCTTACTGTGCATTTGGAGCCAGATGTCTTAGCAGAAAGTTTAACCTTTCAATAGTAGACTGTGCAAGTTCTTCAGTGGCAGCCTTCCAGATGGGAGCACACACAGCTACTGGAGAGTTAAATTCCCAAATGGTGTAAAAATAGAACCGCCTTCCACTCTCTGGGTTTTGCAAGAATTCCTGTCTTGACACAGAGCACCTGAGAACAAAGGGAACCCTTTAAGCTTGTGGGAAATACCTGTCAAGTAGAGCAAGCACCAGCTTTTCCAGAAAAGCACACTCATAGCATCAATTAGGTCCAACAAAAATGCAGCAGGTGTGAAGTTGAAATTTAACCTCAGAGACCCTTAACGTTCACTGAGAAAGACGAAAGAAACTCCAATTTTTAATCTTCAAATATGTAAAAATTGAGTGTCTCCTAGGCTCATCCTCCAATAGAGATGCCAAATAAAAGCCACAAATAAATGACAAGTATTTAGCTATTTGTTGGAAGATATCCCAGAGAAGGGGGTCGTGATTCTTTATGTACACACATTTTTTTTCCTTCTAGAATGTCCCTTACTAAGGTAGGGCATCCTTAGGTACAAAATACCCAGAAACTCAAGACACTCATATGAAATAATATGTTTTCCTGTAACCTATGTGTATACTATTACCACATGCTTTAAGTTATTTCCCAAATTACTTATGATAATATTGCAGTTATAACTGGGGTTTTAAATAATATTGACATCCCATGAGCCAATACGCATGTTGATGTGTATTTAGTGACTGCGTGACTTTGATGCAATTATAGTATCCAGAATAGTTACTAGCTTTTATTCGATATCATTATTTGCTAATAACTTTTGCCAATATCAGGAGTCTCTGCGATGCCTCATGGCTCAAGTGCATCGTTAATCCTTCTGACAAGAGATGAAGTAGGAGGTTCAAATCTAGCCCAGGTCCTAATATTTAGGTAACTTCTAGCTTGTGTAAGTGCCACATAGTTGTGGCTGTCCACTGTGGCATACCACTTCTGAGTACTCAGCCCTTTCACCCAGTTCACTTCATAAACTTTTCTCTGCTTATTGGCTGCTGTGTTAGCACCATCACATTTCAACACTGACTTATTCATTTGAGTCCTTTTCTAAGCCAATGTGTGTTTAAGTGAAGGTGACACATTTGCTGCCTTGCCACTATAATACCTCAGGTACTCTGTGGCTTGTGGCATGAGACTAATAATATTTGAATAAATTAATTAAGTAAAAATCTAACCTTAACTTTATATCTCTGTCAATATTGCTACCAGGAACATTAGCTTCTTGTCTGAAATCTGCCCCAGTTACCTCAAGCAACCAGAGCAAAGATGGTGACATCTAAGGACATCTATGGTGGAGTCTTTTTTTTTTTTTGCCATGAGAGACTATTAGTCTTTTTGGAAGATTAAAACATACCTACAAAACTGCATTTGTAAAATAAAAAGATACATCTAAAGAAGCCATTAGATTTTTTTAATTTCTTTAGAATTTCATACATTTTTACCCATTCTCTCTCTCCTTTCCAACTTTTCCTGTGTCCCCATCTCATATTCATGATCTATTCTTCTTTAATTATTATCATTACATTTATACATAAGCCTGACGAACCTATTTAGTATTGCTCATATATATGTGCTTAGATGACAACCAGTATTAGATAACCTATCAGATGGCTTTTCCCTACAGAAGAATGATTTTTCCTCCTTAGTTGCCTGTAGCTCTTCATCTAGGGTTAGGGCCTTGTGAAATTAGTAGATGATAACTGAAAGAAAAGAAAACTTAGTATAAGCATGTGTTTATATATTATTGGAGGAAAATAGAATGACTATATACCCAAATATGATATACACAGAATTACCATATACCCAAAGCCACATGATCTTATCACATTACCAAATCTCCTTTGAGTCTAAGATTGGTCATGTCCAGCACACCTGCCAGATGATCTTTATAATGAATCAGAACTAGGAAAAAAACCTGTGTATTTTCTCTTGAAGAGATTACAGTGTTCCCAGCTAGCATAGATATAGGAAATGTTCTGTTGATTACAAAAGTCTAGGACATATTGCAGGATTCTTGCATGGATTGTGGAGGTGAAGGATGTTTTATGTCTTCTATAGGAAAGTAAACAGAAGCAGGGAGGTAACTGAGGCTAGAAGGAGCTCATGCAAAACAATGATCCTATTAGGGCAGAAGTAGATTTCATGGGAATGATTAACTTGGAGTGGTCCTTCTACTCTGGTCAGGAGTTCTATCTGCCTCCCAGGTTGATGATTCCCTAGAAAGTGGCCTCAACAACTTCTCAGCTGATGGACATAAGGCATTTGGGTACCTTTCTATAACACTATTGATGTGTACCATCCAAGAATACTCATCCATTATTCAGCATTGGGATCACAATATCTAAACCCTTCTGCTGGAACACCACCTAAATCTACACCACAGGTTCCTCAGTTGCAGCTCCCCAGGGAGCTGATGATAGTTTACTCATCTTCTGTTTTCCCCTTCCACTTCTTTCTAGTTTCGCTCGCCCAGGAAGAGGCTCCTGGTTAGGGAAAGGTGGCCCAGACACAGGACCAGAACAGCCCATTATTTCTCTGGAAAACTTGGTCTTCGGAGCTGGATACTGCAAGCCAACTTCCTCAGAGGTAATGTGTGCACTGGGAGCCGTGATCCCAAAACCTGCAATTCTCACTTTTAAAGAGTGTGTCCTATGAGTTTCCCTCTTCTTTCAAATGTTTCTTTAGGGCAGTGTTTGCCCATTTATTTCAAGGTCTATCCATCCTTTCACTTTCACCAATCATCTCTCAGATGCATTCTGAGTATCAAGCCCTGTAGTAAATGTAGCAAGTATTCTTCTCCTGTTGTCCTTCTTACTTCTAGTCCTTTTGGAGAAAAGAGCTCTCTAGAAGCTAGGTGATATTACTGTGAGGATGTTTTCATAACACTATGTTATGATATTGAATGCCTGGTTTCAAAACCCAGATCCAACTCTTTACTCTCTCTTGTGTTTCTCTTTCCCCACCTCTGGGGTGGTATCACTAAGAACCACTAATCTCATATGCAGTTATGTACACCCAAAGTTGTCCCAAATGTAAAGTTGTTTGCCTCATACCTGGTGGTTAGGAGCTGCCTAGTAAATAAATATGTCTACCTTTCCATTCCCTTTGTTTCTTCCCAAGAAATTTCTGCCATTATTCTCCTCTCATCATGTGTGTATTTCTCTTTAACACATGAAGCATTTTATTAGCATATTGTTCAGAAATAGCCAGCCAGTATTACTCAGGGTTGCCCCAGACATAGAACCAATAGCAATGACTCCTTCATTATTGTAGTGAAGTGACTCAAGTTATCCTAGAGGCTGAGAAGGCTGTAAATATGCCTCACCAAGCTAGACACCAAGGTGATTGATGATAGAGTTCTAGGTCAAGTGTAATTCCAGAAGCTGGGTAACATTGTCACTTAGAAAAACAACTGTTTGCTTTGTTAATAGTCAAAACTCAGTGGATTGAACCAGTCCTGTCAAACTGGGGAGGAAGTTCTCTTTCCCTCAGGTGGGTCTTTTGTTCAGGTCAAGCAGTTATCAAATACACCTGTCCTGGCAGCCTCAACAATATTTAACCATACATCTAGACACCTCATGACCCAGACAAGTAGATACAAGAAATTTATCATTGTTAAGCAAATGACAGGCAAGTGAAAGACTTTGCCCTAGCCAGCCCTGTCACCTTTCGTGACAGAATGCACTTTGACCAGACTGTTGAAGATTTGAGGTAAAACTTCCTATTTCTCTGGACTTTCCCTAGTTTGAGATCTAGCTAGGAGATCTGACTGCAGATGTTAACCCAGTCTCATATCTATCTGGGCTAAGCTGCTATGTCACATGTTTTCATGGTTCTGAGGTCTCCGAAGGAGGCCGCCATAATTGCCCTGAAAGGATGGGGAATTGAGTCCAAAGTAGGACTTGTTTTCATACATTGAGGGAAAGATTGGAAAGCTAAGAGTCTTCCTACATAGCATGGGCATTTCTCTTACCTCCCAAATTCATTTCAGCATGTGATGTGGCCTGGATAGAAGGCTCTTCACCCACAATGCCTACTACAGATCCCTCATCCCTCAGTAGATAGGAGGTATGTCCCCAAGTCATCTGCCAATTCCCTTGCTTCTGGGATATTGACAGCCAACTCACACACAGGAACAATTACTCTGAACAGTTTCCGATCACAGTTCAGTTTTCCTTTTGCCAAGTTCTTCCTCTCTCACGGCACTAAGTGGTAGCTTTAAGAGAATCCCTGTTAGAGCTCTTGGTCTCCAGACTGATAACTGGGAAACCAGCATGGGACTGATCCAGACCCTCTGAATGTGGGTGTCAGTGAGGAGACCTTGGAAACCTATGGGGCCCCTTGTAGTGGATCAGTACTTATTCCTAGCATAGGAATGGACTTTGGGAGCTCATCCCACATGGAGGGATACTCCCTGAGCCTAGCACAAGGGGATTAGCCTAGGCCCTATCCCAGAGGATACGGCAGACTTTGAAGACCCACTACAGAAGGCCTTACCCTCCCTGGGGAGCAGATAGGGTATGGGATATGTAGGGTATTAGTTGGGGGGGGGTAGGGCAGGAGGGGAGGGAAAGGGACCTGGGAATGACATGTAAAATACTCTTCTTTCTAATTGAAATAAAAAGAGTATCCCTGTTCTTGTTCTCCTCCCCTCCCCTTCTTCCTTTCCTACCTCCTTCCTGTCCTCCCCCCAGGGGAAGAATAGAGGAGGGCAAGAAAGGAGATGCCTTGATAGAGGGAGACAGTACATGTTTGGAGAGAGGTCTGGCACAGGGAAAATGTTAGGGGATTCACAGGGATGACCCCAGCTCAGAATCCAGGCAGTGGTGGAGAGGATGCCATTGATGCCCTTCCCCTATAATGAGATTGATGTGTAACTTGGTTACCATTCCTAGAGCCTTCATCCAGTAGCTGTTCTTAGCAGTTCTTAGCTGTTCTTAGCACCCACAGCTAAGCACTGAACCATACTACTGGAATCCAATTGTGGAAAGGGAGGAGGGATGAGCAAAGGAGCCAAGACGGGGCTGGAGAAACCCGCAGAAACAGTGGACCTGACCTACTGATAGCATGGAGACCCTTGTCAGAAAGCTGGGGAAACAACATTGGGCCAAACCAAGCCCTCTGAATGTGGGTGCCAACTAGGAGGCCAAGACAGTCTATAGACCATTAACAGTGGAGCCAGTCTTTATCCATAAAGCACAAATGGACTTTGGGAGCCTATTCCCTATGGAAGGATACTATTGCAGCCCAGGTACAGGAAGAAGGGCCCAGGCCCTCCCCCACATGATATGAGGGACTTTGAAGGTCCCCTGTGGAGGGTCTCACTATCCCTGGGAGGAGTTGGGGGGTTGGTGGGGAACATGGGACAATGGGAGGGCAAGGGAATGGTGGGATGAATATGTAAATATGAGTAGTAATTAAAGAATAATAAAAAAAGAGTCTCGCTGATAGACTTACCACCTAAAAACCTTCAGTTCAGACTCCTTCTGAAGGAATATAGCCAGAGACATTGGTAATTGTTAGCATTCACAGCCTAGGTGAAAACATTTATAGCAGGTTCCTCACATGCTAATGTCCTTAGCCACTGAAGTGTTTGATGTGATACAAAAAAAATTAAAAGACCCAGATACTGATATTTGGGTTCAAGCTTCAAGCTTAAGATCAGAAAAGCAAGACAGCCAGCCACTAACTCTTACTCTTCTCTGGCTGAAAGGTGATCCTGGCTCCACTAAATCTCAGACTGAAATCCCAGACTGCTATGTTCTCCTCAACATGGCTGAAGAATCCTAAGACTTAATGTCATCCTGTCCTCAATGTGGCTTGAGAATGAATGCCAGCTCTGAGACCTTGATCCTTTCTTATATAACTCTCTAATGCTGGGATTAAAGGTGTGTGATCCTAGGTGCTGGGATCAAAAGCAGGAACTCTGTTACTCTTCATTCTTGTGTAGGCCATGGTGGCCTTGAACTAACAGAGATCCATCTACCACTTAATCCTGAGTTGTGAGATTGAAAGTGTGCAGCACCACTGCCTGATCTCTATAGCTTGAGGCTGACTTTGCTTTCTGAATCCTCAGGCAAGCTTTAATAAATCATAAGTAGTATATTATCACAGTGTGATGCTCCATCTACTTGGGAGGTGTTCTGGTGCTCAGTGCCATTTACATCAGCCAAAACCATTTGTACCAACACTGCTGAAATGGTGCTGTCTGATTTCCCAAATGTTTGAAGGATCTCTGGCTCTCCTTTTTCAGGACCTCTGCTTGAATAACTCAGAGTAGGGACCATCTCATTTAGTTTCTTCCCCTAGGACCTAACAAGACACCTGCCCTTTGAAACCAGAACTCAAGTAATAATGTTTAATGGAAGGCTGAAATAACTCTGTGCACCGTGCTGGTGCTGATGCTGGTGCTGGTACTGGTGCACAGTTGAAGAGCTAGAGATTCATGCGAGAGATCACTCACTGCAGCAAACAGAAAGTAAGGGTCATAGTATGATAGGTCATGTTGCGAGATTGTATAGACTCCGGAACCAGCAATGGGCAGAGCAGTGAGCACTGTGGAATATCCTAGCCCACTGAACTTTTACACTGTTTGAGACTGTTGTTATGTGCTGCCTTCTGTGGCAAATATTTACAATTTGTGGAAACTTGGTGTTTACAGAAACTCAGTTTGTACAGCTGTGAAATGGGGACAATGGGGTCTGTCTTTTGAAGATTTATATGTGTAAATTACATAATCGGGCTTGGCAGACAGATGATGCTGTATAGTGAGGGTTTGTTTGTTTGTTTTCTATTTCTTTCTTGGCTGCTTCTGGGGCTCTGAGCCAAAATTGTACATGCTTGTCTTTCATATGTTCAGATAGAAAGGCTGACTTGTTAGTCTTGGCACTGGGCTTTCTCCTGAGAGATGGCTCAGTGAGTTGTTTTCAGGGCTCTGTTCTTTTCCTGTGTGTTTTCCATTTGGGTCCCATCCAATTATGTGGAGTCATTGCTGTGTGCCCACCCTGCAAGGCTGCCAGGCAGAGAATCCAATCTTAGTTCCACATTCCCATGGGAGCTTTGCATCCAAGTCTCAAGAAGCCCAGAGCATTAACAGATAGTAATGGAATATGCACGGGCTGCTGCATCAGCTGGTGGCATGGGGGAACAGGTGCTCCCCTCAGTAAGCCCTTCCTGACAGAAGCCTGGGAAAAATCAGAGATTCATGGCAAAGTGAGCTAGTTGGGACAATTTGCTTATTTATAAATTTGCTTATGTTAATTATTTAGTTTTGATTTTTGTTTAGTTGTAGGAGTTGCTTATACGTGTTGGATATTAGCTCTTCTTCAAATCACAGTTGAAACTGTTTCCCCTATTTCTTCCATTGTGTTTGCATTGCATGGCTGTCCCTTTGCAAAAATGAGACTTGTTTGGCACAGCCCCATTTGTCTCTCCCCTTCTGGATGCCATGGAGCATCACCGATAAAATGCCCTCAAATTTTACTTTACATTTTCTCCAAGGCTTTTTATAATTTCAGGCCTGATACTACATTCTTCAATACACTTGAGATGATTATGGTATATGGGGTATGAAATGAATTCCGTAT